TTTGCCAAGACTACAAGTTTTTGTCAGGAAAGAGGAGGAAAAGGCATCAGGCTCTCAGGAAAGAGAGGAAGAAGGTGTATGCTCTCAAGAAAGAGAGGAAACACAACCACAAGAAAGTGAGGTATTACCTGATGCAAATCCTCGAAGAAATATGGAAGATCGACAGGGACTGTTCTTAGTCAGGCAACTCAAACCAGAGCACAGACAGATCCTCCATGATATTACACTCCAAGGCCAAACAATCCTCACAGAAGATGATCTCGAAGGAAGTCGACCCCTTGAACGTGGTGACATAAGCTTCTTCTCATTATGGTTGATGATGTCGGCATTATCAGATGCTTCTTTTTCAACATTTATGGAGCAGTATGCACCTATGATGGGTTATGAGATCTCTTACGACAAGTACTATGAGTTCAAACTGGATATTGACCAAGTTCTCAAGGACAATGAACACCTTGGCGCAGAAAATTTCTTTGGAGCAGAGGATCCTCATATGGTGGACGATGATCCAGACCCTCCACTTCCAGATCTTCAAAGACCAGGCGCAGGTGATCCTGAGTACAAGCATACCATTGAAAGTTTGAACATTGAGGACAAACATATCATTTTGGAAACTGATGATGACAAATTGGTTGAGTGTACATTGGAATGGATCAGTATGTGCAATCAGAATGTTCAACGAAAGATCAAGGAAAGTTTTGTCAAACCAGAAGAACGACAAGAGGAAGAAGAGAAAGAAGAGGATGAAGATGAGGAGATTGCTGTCGAAGAAAAAGAAGAAGAAAAAGACACACAGGAGCCACATGTCCCAGCTGAAGGCTCTTCAGAGAAAGAGGAATCAGCTCCACCTGAACGCTCCTCAGAAAGGGAGGAATCAGGGGAGAAGAAAACAGACATTCAAGATGATGAGACAGCTCCTGAAGTGAAACCTGCAATTCGACTTTACTATGGTCAAGATATCACTGGAAACGAAGATGATTCAGTTTTTCGAAAATTGAAGGATTGTTTTTCAGATGGTTACCATGGTGAATGGGCAGGATTTTACAACAAAGGTTATCCAGCGTCTTCGAAGCATCGACATATGTTTTGGCATGTTAAGTACAGGAAGACCATGTCTCCACATCATGATTTTTGGTACCATCTTACAGATGACCAGTTGAGGGTTGAGTACATTGCCAGACACAAGAATCAGGATCCACAACTAGAATTACAAGAACTTAATCAGCGCATTGAATATGGTTGTAGTGATCCAAGGATGCATCCTCTTCATCAAGACAAAGCAGAAAGATCCTCAAAAGAAGCAGAACAGAGGATTGATGACGATTTTTGGAAATCTCACAAAGGTACTCCAAGATTACGTTGAGGAACACAAGGTCTTGCCTTACTGTATGATCTTGCATAGCTTGGCTTACAGGTACTTAGGTGGAGGCCTATCAGACCCAACGTACAAGGATGCTGAATTTCCATACAGATCCTCTCCACAGATAACAGCAATGTTTTGGAATTTGGGAAACTGGTGCAGAAACAGATTTGAAAAATGCCCGGTTCCAGAAAGATTTCAACAATTCATTCCACACATTGACTACACTATCGATGAGGATCATGAAAAATTTGATGAAACCAAATCACAGTTCAACAATTACTTCATCACTGTCATCAAGAACTTTGGAGGACATCTTTTCATGAATTGCGAGGCTGGTTCGTTGTATCCTCACAGAGAAAGACTCGACGAGGTTGACTTTAAAACTTGCTTCAATGACTATCATGACTTGATGGTGGCAGCTCGCCTTGGAAAGGATGGCTATATCAAGCAAATTGCTGGATATCACACAGATGACAACGACACACGAGTTCGACAAGTCTCATGGGCAATCTTTGAAGTATCTTGGGGAAAGACAAAGGATCGAGATACAGATGAGATTGTTGACTTGACAAGAGCTAGGATGAGAATGACACGTGTGTGCGTTTATCACGTCGGACAGAAGTATGCATCAGACTCTGCTGGGATTGTTGGTGAAAGCTTAGCTGTTATGGCTTTTGAGTGTGCCAGATATCAAGTTGACTTCATCGCAGGTGATGGAAACAAGGCATGCTATTACAGCACACCAAAATCTCCAGGTGTCCCTACATATCAACACAGCCTTATCTAATTCTGGATTAACAGAATGGTAGGTGTTGCAACACAAGCCATGCGCAAGAATTTTGATCCAACTTGCCCTCCAATCAGGGTCAAGCATTTCATTTCTTGCAGTTATCGTGACTTGGATTTTCTTGCAACCCACTTGGATGGCATTACAACAGCAACATACACCGACGAGCTCATGAACAAGACAAATGGTAAAGGTGATTGTTGTATGTTAACAGTTGTTGAGTGGGGTCATTCACGTTTGATGTGTGAGGAACACCAAGAAGACTTTGAGGATGAAGATCACATGAACTATGTGGGTGAATTTAGTTCAAGGTAAATGAAACTTGCTTACATGGTTATCACAACATCTTCATGGTTGCTCCAAATGATCGCGATGCTCATAATCCAATTCTTATCCATCTTGATCCTTCTGATATGTCATGGAATGAACGACATCATTACAAACAGGCCTACAAGAAGCAGTATGCTGATTCAAGAAAGGAAAGACAGAAGGAGAAAAAGAGAAAGGCATATGAAGATCAAGCATCGACGTATCAGGGCAACACAGAGTGGGGTGGATCCTCATCTTCAGCGTCCAGACCATGGAGATCAAGTGAGTGGCGATGAGTGAGTGTACACTTCTTTAATTGAAGATAACACAGCATGAGAAGCCGTGTACAGTTTTTCTGTGCCTTCAACTTATTTCACACAGATGGCATATACTCTTTTAGATAGAGATAATGCCACAAGTGTCTGAACTTCAATTTAATGTAAAATAGAGACTCTTGTAAATAGAGATACTATATGCATTTATCTCCATGAATCATCCGGCGAGCAGACCACTCCGAATGGAGCGAACTTCAAAAATTTACCAACTTCGATTTCAGTCCATTGTTTGCTTGAATGAGCAACTTTGGAGATCCGCTATTTCCGTTTATTTCGTGATTTGGTCAATTGTTTTCGTATGACCTGAATTTCTGAATCTTGCGAACCCGAACTTTTCAATTCGAACTTTCACCGGTAGAGCGAGGCATTTTGCCTGTGGAGAGACCGTGCGCGAAGCACCATTGGTCACTACTGGAAAAATTAGCGAATCCGCTGTTCTTTTTCGACATGTCCTTAGGACATTCGCTGCTTTCACGGGTTTTTCAATTCGAAGCCACTGCGTAACTCCGGTTTCTTTTGCTATTTGCCATTGTGTAGAGAAGTCAGGAAGATACTCTTAATACCAATTGGGTACGGCAAGGCGGAGTGCTCTACTCATTGCTTTTGAATTTGTGCCTGTGTTTTTGTTTCGACCTAATACCTACATAGGTACATGCATGAGTATTGAGCACATTTATATGCGCCTTCAAGGCTCAAGAAAGAGGTATATAGAGTAACCCTGTAGACAAGCACTGACCGGCAACAGGCAGAGAGTAAAAGAGTGCTGTCATTGGGGAAGACGCCTTAGCTGATCTTGAAGTAGACGCTAGGGCCCCTCTTCAGCCCCCCCCCCCTTATAATTGATATCCAATACATAACGGCGAGAATTCCATGAATTGCACGGGCTGGCCCCCCAATACCCCCTAAGCTTGTGCTGAAGCACGGAGAACTCAGGTAGCTGACGCTACCTTTCGTGATATGAGCCTGGAAACATGATGGGATTTTGATGGGATTTTGATATGCTGAATACAGATTGCATAGAGACCTGGCATGATTTGAGCCCGTGACCATCTGCTTCCAAAACCGCTTCAAAATGCCCCAGGAGCTTAGGGGTGGGGGGGTTCGAGTGAAAAACTCAGACCTGCCCCTCCCCTTGCTGAAGCAAGAGTAACTCCAGCCAGCTACCACTAGCTTTCGTGATATTCAACATCATGCAAAATACACCTCTGCGATCCATTCCACTGCGCACATGTTTGCTCAAAAATGAACATGGGTAGAGTCAAAAGTGGAAGCACTGAAATTCAACAAATGAAAACAGTGAACTCAGATGAAGTCAGTGGATTGTGTGATAGATTTGAGTGAGAATAACCAAAGGTTGCTTCCCGCCTCGCGCCCTGCATTTTGTTGGTCCAAGCTGCTATGATGGATGCCACAAGCAATCTTCTTCGGCGGAAAACTGTAGGTGAACTGCGAGTAGTGGATCTTTGACGAGTCAATCTCTTGAGCCTGCTCCTCCGCCTCCAAAAATGTAATCAGGAACCAACGTTCACCAATGAAACAACACAAAACTGACTCCATCATTATGCCATGGAATCTCTGATTCCAGCTAAACAAACAACTAACCTGCTCCATCTGGATGCCACTGATTCAAGGCCATCAGCTGCTAAAGAGCGGCGGGTATCGGCTAAAGCTGCTATTCAGGGTCACATGTTGAATAAAATGTGTGCCGCAAATTGTTGGGAAGAGTTGACAAATTGCTGATGCTAGTTGACTATTTCTTGATTCTTAAGTGATTGATACCTCATCGTGCTTTTCAATCTCACACACTGCTTTAGCTGTCTTGGACTCCATCTGTGAGCGATGCACGCCAACGTGCTACCTTCTCTGGTGATCAAAGACTGGCAGAAGGACACCAACGTGACATGAACAGCATGAAGACTTGTCCGCCCAGACATGGACAAGGGCAAGCAGCTACATCAACTCAAAAATGTAGACATCACTGTCTTTTGTAATTCCCCTGACACTTCAAAGTTTGAGAAGCCCCTAGGTTTCAAGACCGAAAGAATCTCAGAAAATGTCCAACGAAATGTAAATTAAGACTGAAAATGTACTTTCTTACCTTTCTTACCTTTCATCTTACCTTTCTTGTTTCTTGTTTCACTGGACAGCCTCCAGTCCTCCTTTTTCACCTTTTTCGTGACATGTCATGACTGCTCTGAGCCCGGGGCCACAAGATCCACACGTCGCTGTTACCCTGAGTTTCGCCAACCGACAACCCGCCATAGCTATATAATTTAGCAGTGGGGATATCATGGGGATATCCATTTCCGTGCCAAATCAACAGTAATGATATGTAATGATCATCCTAAAAATGGCAAAGTCAACTTTCTTGACAAAGTCAAAATATGTCAAAATCATGGGTATCCTCTCGAAATCTCTCAAATTGGTGGTACTGGTAGCACCAACCCCAGGTGTCCAGCAGCAGGTTGCCCAAGGCCCTTGCATCATGGGAGGTCCGGATGCGATGGCCAATTCGAAGGGCTCCCTTCTCAATTGCGGCCACACCAGCCTGCGTTGCGTGGAAGGGCAGACCCACATCTAAGGAGGGAAATCCTAGAATTTTGGACGCAAAAATGGGTCAGGTCGAAGTTTTTGACGGAGAAACTCTTGTTTTTTGGGGATACCCCGTAGTTTAAGACAAGGACACCACCTGAACAGCGGCATGTAGAAGCCACTGAAGTCCAATGGCCATGGAGAAACTCAATCCGTTCCCAGCCAAGAACTTCCAAAAAACTTGGAGGGTATAGACTTGAAATATCTCTCGCCAAAACAACTACGATCGCAGCACCTGATCGCGTCTCTCCAAACAATCCTTGTCGCGGCACCTCGGGTCTTGGCACCAAAAACCCTCACTTTTCATGAAAAAACAAATAGTTTAGCTGAACATGTAGAAACCTGTAGTATTTCCCATTCAAACCTACAATTTGTTTAGGGAATTTTCCATTGCCGGGATCCATTGTTGGGAAGGTCTCAGGATTTTCATCAATTTTCATCAGGCTCCGGCATTGCCCGTCCACCTCCACCACGACTCGCGTAGTCAACCTAATAGGCAAAGGCCGGTCATGACAGGACTGGTTGGTTAAGAGCGGTGATTCCCAAACTGGATTTTGATATACTATGTGTGTATATATATATACAAAAAAATAAGCACAGCTGCTTGATGTCCAAGTGATGTATAGCTCAAGCCAGAAACACCAAAGAAGATAGGGTGGAAATCATGTGGCTGAACGCGTTATAGGCGTTATAATTATATTATGATACTCCAAAATATAGGGTAGTAGAACCACAGAACTAATCATCAACCAACAGGGGTTTCGAACATTGCTCAGATGCAAAGATTCTCATTCGCGCTTCTCTGCCCAAAGCTCAGCACATTCAGCAACCAGCTTCCAGTTTGGCACCAAGGTGCCACCCACTTGTGCAGCCGCTTGCCATCCTTGTCCTCTATGAAGCCTCACGCCGGCTGAAACTCCAACTGCAGATATACTCCAGCCATCCCCAGCCAGAAGCCACTCAGGGTCCAACGACTTTCATCCACGAAGTGATCCTCACTGAACCGTGAGATAACCACAAGGGAGTTTTCTCAGAGCTCTCACATGTCATGACATTCATGACTATCCCATGACATCTCTCTACATCCTTATACAGTACACATACATATACATGGATATGTAGGCATACATGTCCATATGCGTGTACCTACATATAATTATAACATATATATATATAATTATATATATGATATGATATATATATATATGATATGATATGATATGATATGATATTATATTATATGATATGATATGATATGATATGTATATGGTCAGAATATGTGTAGTTATCCATACATTTGTTCCAGCAGCACCCCAGACACAAAAGCTTCGCTCCTTCTGCGGGCTTTTCTTCGAGCTCTTGGGACTTGGCTTCTCAGGTCTTGCCTGGCGGGGAAACCTATGGAGCTTTCGAAGCCTTTTTTGGGTCAAAAAAATGGTGGCACAGAGATTTAGAGCAGAAATGGAAATAGGATGAGACTCTGAGATCCGCTTTCCCCAAAAACACCCTTAAAAACAACATTCTTCACATGTAAAGTTGCTTCCAAATCCACTCAATCAACTTGACATTCCAACTGGCACTGACGAATTTTGGGCGCACTCGCTGGCACCTCTTTGGCGGGTGTTTGTAGCTGTTCGTCCAGTTCCTTCTCCAATTCCTGTGGGGGAGTGGAGTATGCCGCTAGGCCACGATTCTCCGCGGAAAAGGATATGCGGCCTGCGAAAATGGAGAAAATGATGATCAACCAATGATCAACCAATCAACCATGGGATGTTGGGGTACCCCGTCAGATCCCATGTTGGACACGTCGACCTTCGGACCTTCGGACAAACGCCAGCAATACCCCACCCCAAAGATGCCTCATCTCCTGCTGAGCGCATCTCGATATCATTCAAGCCCTGCACTGCACTGCACAGCTATGATCGAGAGTGACACGCTGATCTCATCAGGCTAGCCTAGGGACGATCCTTCTGTCTTTCTCGGGCTTGAAAATGATTGAATCCATCCAAAACATCCAAATCTCATCAAAGGATGTTGTGGTTCACCAAACGAACTGAGAGCCAGTCGTCCATAGCCCTTTCCAGTTCTTTTTCCAGATCGTCCTGGGTGGGTCAGTGGCCTGTGTGAGACAGGAGTCAGTAGAGAAGCCGATGTCAAATCCAACAGCTTAGATCAGTACTTAGTTCCAGAGAAACATCTCATCTCATGTTCTGCGGCATGCGACACCCTTGAGGGCAGCCCGGATCCTCATCCAGCTCTGTCTGTGGGTGGGTTGCAGCCTCCTCAACAGGTATCAGTCGGTTAGAAACCCAAATAGTATGGGAAGCTTGTGGGAATAGGATGGAATAGGGGTACCATCACTGTCATTGACATTGAGAGTCCCTATAAATTCCATGGACATAGTCATAGTCTTAGTCATAGTTGACTCTAACATGTCTGCTATGGCTATGCAGTGACTACCCAGGCAATGTTTCTTGTTGTGATCTTGGGGTGCCAGAAAGATACAAAACAAGTTGGCATACCATTGGAACAAAACGGATCGAGTTATGATGGAGCATTAAGGCGTAGACGGCGTAGATCCAAAATAAATGCAGCATGGTGTAGCAACATCAGCCAACCAACATCCAGAAACTCGCAGGTTTGGGTTACGCAGCTACTGAATACATCTGATATCATCTGATCATGTACTGTCCCTGCTGGGAATTGGCTGAAATGAAAAAATGAGGAAATGACAAAATGACAGGAGCTATGCACCTTAGGACCGTCCAGCTCTCGATCCAAAGCTGTCTCGAGGTCATCCTTGTGGGATGACTCTGGGGGTACCAAGTCCTTTTGACGCACAAATTCATCCATGGGATTCCAAACATTTTCTCCACCCCAATATGGGGGTTCACTGCCTGGGGGTTTCCATAGTCATGGGGGTACCCCAATAGCTGGATGGCTTATAATGGAAAATCCATCTATAAATGGATGATTTGGGGGCACCCCTATTTCAGGAAACCTCCATATAGTAAGGTTGCTTTGACAAATGACAAACATTCCCATGCCTCTGTGGGTCGCAGTGTCTCCATCTGCGTTGAGCTTCCAGAGTCATCCTGCACATATATAATTCAAAACGCAAACTGATACCTCAAAAAAAAGTCATTCTGCCAGAAACACATTCAAATTTGTCAGCTCTGCATTCTTTGCCTCCGTGGTCGACTGCATCTTGTCCATCTCTTTTTCCAAGGCCTTTTCGATATCATCCTGCACAAGTGCAAACGTTTGCAACAGGCAGACTTCAAGTCAGTAACAACTGGAAGAAAAAACACAACAAACAACAAAAGAACACTGTGCCACTATGCAAAAGGAAACCTATTCGAGACCCAACAACAGAACTGAATGCTCACCCTGCCTCCGTCGTCGACTGCATCTTGTCCATCTCTTTTTCCAAGGCCATTTCGAGATCGTCCTGCACAAGTGCAAACGTTTGCAACAGGCAGACTTCAAATCAGTAACAACTGGAAGAAAAAACACAACAAACAACAAAAGAACACTGTGCCACTATGCAAAAGGAAACCTATTCGAGACCCAACAACAGAACTGAATGCTCACCCTGCCTCCGTCGTCGACTGCATCTTGTCCATCTCTTTTTCCAAGGCCATTTCGAGATCGTCCTGCACAAGTGCAACCGTTTGCGACAGGCAGACTTCAAGTCAGTAACAACTGGAAGAAAAAACACAACAAACAACAAAAGAACACTGTGCCACTATGCAAAAGGAAACCTATTCAAGACCCAACAACAGAACTGAATGCTCACCCTGCCTCCGTCGTCGACTGCATCTTGTCCATCTCTTTTTCCAAGGCCTTTTCGATATCATCCTGCACAAGTGCAAACGTTTGCAACAGGCAGATTTCAAATCAGTAACAACTGGAAGAAAAAAAAACACAACAAACAACAAAAGAACACTATGCCACTATGCAAAAGGAAACCTATTCGAGACCCAACAACAGAACTGAATGCTCACCCTGCCTCCGTCGTCGACTGCATCTTGTCCATCTCTTTTTCCAAGGCCATTTCGAGATCGTCCTGCACAAGTGCAACCGTTTGCGACAGGCAGACTTCAAGTCAGTAACAACTGGAAGAAAAAACACAACAAACAACAAAAGAACACTGTGCCACTATGCAAAAGGAAACCTATTCAAGACCCAACAACAGAACTGAATGCTCACCCTGCCTCCGTCGTCGACTGCATCTTGTCCATCTCTTTTTCCAAGGCCTTTTCGATATCATCCTGCACAAGTGCAAACGTTTGCAACAGGCAGATTTCAAATCAGTAACAACTGGAAGAAAAAAAAACACAACAAACAACAAAAAAACACTATGCCACTATGCAAAGGAAACCAATTCGAGACCCAACAACATAACTGAAAACCCGCCCTGCCTCCGTGGTCGACTGCATCTTGTCCATCTCTTTTTCCAAGGCCTTTTCGATATCATCCTGCACAAGTGCAAACGTTTGCAACAGGCAGACTTCAAATCAGTAACAACTGGAAGAAAAAAAAACACAACAAACAACAAAAGAACACTATGCCACTATGCAAAGGAAACCAATTTGAGACCCAACAACATAACTGAAAGCCCGCCCTGCCTCCGTGGTCGACTGCATCTTGTCCATCTCTTTTTCCAAGGCCTTTTCGATATCATCCTGCACAAGTGCAAACGTTTGCAACAGGCAGACTTCAAATCAGAAACAACTGGAAAACGAAAATAAAAAACACTAGAAAAAAAAACAATGCAGGCAATGATTTTGAACAACCAAATAACAGAATTCAGTGCTCGGTTTGCCTCCATAGTCGACTGCAATTTTGCCCCTGCGTCCGTAAGCTGAGAATCACCCATTGGACCAGCTCGAAACCTTGGCTGTGACAATTGATAGCTGGCCTGGCATCCATTGGTGGATGCCAAATTGTTTCGATGTTTCAAAGGAAAACCTGGCACTTTATGGTTTTTTTTTCGGGTATCTAACACAATGTTTTGCAATCTGGAACTTGGCACCTGGCGGAAATTGGTTCACCCACGTCAACTTGCAGTTTTTTTATGCAATCAATACGCGATGTTATATGTTTTTGTACGTTGTCACCTGAAATTTCTGTTTGATGCCCCCATTGTGCACAGGCATTGCATAGGCATGAAATGTTCACCCAATACTTGCCTCAATGGAGTTGTGAGTTCATGTTTTTCGTGCTAAAACAGCTGCACCACCACTATATGCAAAACAAATCAAAGCAAACACACCACATCTGACCCCGCACCCCAATTCGGCCCGGCCACTCAACCTACCTGTTTTTGATTTGTATTCCGAAATTATCCTTTTGCGAAGAAAGATGGAGCGGTCTTTTGAGCCTCAGGGCCTATGGATTCCAAGTCTGAAACTGTGATGAGTTCACATGGTTTTCATGTGCTCAAATTGGAGAACCTGACTGGGATGAGTGCTGAATCAAAACGTTCGCACTCCTCCTAAATTTTCTGAGTTTCAGCTTGGAAATTTCTCCTGTTGTTTTCGACCAGCCCACAGCAAATTTTGCTGTGACCTCATCCAAATTTTTCTAAATTCTTTCCATCAGCTCCACCTTCAGTGAAAAACTGTCATGCAAATCTTTCGAAATTGGTCTTTCTCTTCTATGATCAGCTCCAGTCAGAAATTAAAGACAACGTCTGATGTAGATACCATCTGCCAAAGCGCTTACCATGCCATGTAGCTCAGCCTCGCAGGATGAGAGGCTTACAGCTCTCTGCGTCCTTGAAGAACCGAACATGTAAAACCCGTTGATCAAATGGATGCCAGCGCTTGTACTCCTCCGGTGTTCTTTGTTTGAACTCCAACCTGAATCACTTGCACTTTCCAGCACCCAAAACGACTCACTGGTGTTTTTCCATTTTCCTTGGCCACCTTCAGGTTCTGCGATGACCACTGCGTAGGATGCTGTTCCCTTGACATACCCCATGACTTTCTTGAGCCTTTGCAACGCCGTCACAGTTGGTTGAGCCATCTTTGCTGACAACTCTTTGACACAAAACAAGAGATCCGGTCTGTCCCTTGCTAAGTAAAGCAAACCTCCAACTGCAGATCTATAGGCATAGGCATCACGGGAAGTCAAGTTTGAAGACACATCAGGGAGTTGTATGGAAGAGTCACATGCCACATGCTGAACACGCACTTGACCAAAGTAACTTTCAAAGTTTTCCACCAACTTGTCGATGTTGGTTCCTGGAACCAGAGCTAAACCATGGTTAACCTTCACCAGCTTCCGTTTCAAGAAGGAAATTGAGCTCCCTTCTTCTTCCAAAACTGATGCACTAACGCTGAACTGTTCCTTCAACTTTGGCAAAAACTGTTCTTCCCAAAATCTGCGCTTTCCTACAAACAAAACATCATCCACATGCAACGTCAACGCTGAGTGTTCATTTCGGCAAAGACATGGTTGCTCTGTGCACCACTCATAGCCAAACGTTTTCGAAAGGAAATCTCTGAAAAACCAGTACCATGCTTTTGCACCAAGACGTTGGCCTGGGAGGTTCTTGGCTATGATGTACTTTCTGCCTGCCAGTGTCACTGCAAAGGGCTTTGCTTGTGGTACACATAGAAAAGCATCCTTGATGTCAACTGTTGCCAAAACATGTTCTGCTGCATGGTTTTCACAGCCACGTCGTTCAGCACATCGTTGCAAGTAAACCATTGGCAAAAGGTTCATCACATGAGTTGATGTCGCAGGACTGAAGCAATCGTCTCTGCGTTCCATGAAAGCATACTCTCTGGCCACCAAGCGGCTACGTCGAAGCCACCTTTTGGTTACACTTCCATCATCCAAGGTGTAATCCTTGGCACGCCAGTCATGCACAAACTTCGTTGTCAAGGAGTCTCGAACTTCATTCTGGAAAAGCTCCTCCTTGATCAAAACCTCCATGTTTACCAAGCGTGAAATCTCAACTTCGTTTGCAAGCATGTCAACCCATTCTGGTGGTTCGTCAGGTTGACGCTCCATGTTGTAATCACTCCAAAGATCTTCTGGGACATCCTTGAAGTGCAAAGAATCTTCATCAGCCCATAAATCAGCTGAGTCACCTTGTTGCTCCATGTCTTGGTCGTTCTCGTAGTTGTCCATGGTGTGGAACTTCTCATTGCCAAATTCCACAGTGCTGATTCTTGAAGCATACTCCTGAGTGATTCTCTGGAGTCTTGAGCGCTTGGGATCATCACCCCTGGCACGCTTTGCTTGATGCTCTTCGATATCAACATCTTCATCACCATGTGCACGTGTTGTTGGAGAAGCACGTGGTGTCTGTGGAACATATGCAACTTCCATGGGTCCTTCATCCTCAAAAATTGGAGTGACTGGGGCTTCACTGCCTGCAACACCAAGAGAAGGCGCAGGAACTCCTCCTGTGTCGGGTCCCACATCATCTCCAACCTCCACTGTTTCATCATCATGTTGAACTGCATCTGCATCACCAAAGCTAACTTCCGGTGGTGCATCATCTTCCACCGCAGGAAGTTCATGTCGATCATCATGTGCACCCATTTCAGCTCTTTCTGATTCCTCTCTCATTTCCTCTCTTGCCTTCTCACGCACTGCTTCGGCATCTGCATCATGAAATGCACTTGGTTCGATCTCACCTCGAGGAGGGTGAAATCCCACTGAAAGTGCCTCACGCTTGATTTTGGTAGGCACCACACGCCCACCAAATCCAGACTTGTATTCCCAGCTGTTGCACTTGAAAGCTGAGTAAAACGCTAAATGCCCCTTCCAGTCAGTGTCAATTCTTCTGATGCTGCGTGTCAACACCAAATGGCTTCCAGAGTAAAGAAGAAAGCTATCTTGGCCATCCACTTTCCCCAAAAACAGGGCTCTGCACCACTTTGCCGTCCCCTTTGCACCAACACGAAAATACCCAAAAACCGGCTCTGCAAACTGAGCAATGGATCCTGTGTAGTGCTTCTTGTGGACAAGCTCAAATGGTGTCACATTGCGCACAACACCATATCTGTTCATCAACCAAGCTGCATGCCTGTGTGCCCACGTCCAGAGAGCGTGGTTTGTAGAGAAGTCTATGCCTGTGCGTTTTCTCACTGAGTGCATGAGGATTGAAGCAAGAGGTCTCAATCTTCCTATCACGTTCTCCACAAGTGAGTTGCCATGTGAGTATGCAGGAGGTGTCACTGATCTCGTTGCCAAACCCATGCTGAGACGCGTTGAAACAACATACTTGAGTAGCTGTCGCATTGTGGGCTCGTTGTCACATCTGAAAATCACCTCAGCATGTCCTAGGCCAGCTGTAAATGACAAAACTTCACGTGTCATGAGCTCCAATTGTCCTTTCGATCTCAATGGCACACATCCAACATAACCTGAAGCACTGTCGACCATCACCAAGAAAGGTAGTGCCGAAACATCCTGAGGGCTTGCTCCTTCAGGAATCGACCTTGTAAATGCCAGATCAAAGGAAACTGTTGGTGTCTCTGAAGCTCGTGAACTGTCATCTCTCAGTTGCCTGTTTGCACGCGCTTTGAAGCAAATACAGCTTTCACACCAAGATTGGTAAGGTGTGTGTGTGAGTTCATGTTGCCTTTGGGCCTCGTCAGATGGTGGAACTGCCAGTGTTGGTGAATGCGGCTTCCTCTCAAGTTCAGCTGCAGCATGTTGGGCTGCATCCTTCAACAATTCAAGTTCAAGTTTCTTCAAGTGATTCACCAACCGTCCATAGCACTTCATTTTGCCACCAGACTGAGAAATCCCATAAAAACTGCAACCGCTTCTCAACGCTGCTAAACTGCTTTCAACTGTAAGCTCAACGCCGTTGACAATGACTTTCTCGAAGTCTGCTGCATTCACAACAACCCTATCTGCAGGAATCTCACGACCATCAGCTGAAGACATCAAAGAATCTTGATTTCCAATGTCACGTCCTCGAACCTCATCCTCTGGGGCAATGGCGTCTGGGTCTTGTTGATCAGCCTCATCCTGGCGTTCAGCTGCAGGTAAATCAGCTGCATCTTCCCTCATGCTAAAACCCATTGACCCAGGAGATTTCTCACCTTCAGTGACAAACGTAAGAACTTCTCTGGCACCTGAATACCCGTAAAATTCTGCAGACATGTCAATCAAGCTTTGCAACGGCTCACAAAGTTCAACCACGTACCAAGATCCATCATCTCCCTTGATCAACGTAGTGCGGTTTCTGACTCCTTGCATTGCAGGACAAACCAAAGTGGGATCTTGATAGCTTCAGCTTGGAAATTTCTCCTGTTGTTTTCGACCAGCCCACAGCAAATTTTGCTGTGACCTCATCCAAACTTTTCTAAATTCTTTCCATCAGCTCCACCTGCAGTGAAAAACTGTCATGCAAATCTTTCGAAATTGGTCTTTCTCTTCTATGGTCCGAATCTGATTCCGAGCTGTACTTCAAATT